CAAATTGGAGCGTATTGATTTGAGGAAATACGCGTTTAAAATTTCCGGTATAAGTACATAACTTTAAAAATTATTTGTGCATATTTTGCATATTTCAGAGAGGATTTATTCGCAAAAATTTTGAGATGACGTCATCACTTTATGGGAAGGGAACAAACATATCAATTTTGATTAACGTTGTAAATCGTTAATCAAAATTGATTTCACGACATTCGGTTTTTCAGTTTCATGGAAAAATTGCAAATGTTGTTATACAATTTTTACTTTTTTTTTAAATTTGGATATCCACAGTGAAAATTTAACACGAATTCATATACTAAGATATAAAAAAACAAATAAATAAAAAAAAATAAATAGCAATTAAAAAAAAAGAATTTTGTGTAGAGATCTGCTTTCTATGAAAATATTAGTATGGTGATTAAAAATCATCGATAAAAAAACTGTCTCTGAAATACACTCTTGTTTGGTAATACGGTTTTATTTCTTGGAATTGTTTATCCAGAATGTAAACAAAAATAATGAAACCAGTTAATTTTATTTATTAAGTAAAAACAATTTCTCAGGTTCTAGGAACACAGTTAGTAGTGCTGTTAAATTTTAAATATCTCTTGGAAAATACGTTCTAAATCGCGTTGGTTGTGGTTTAAAAGCCAGGGAAGTTCGGTGTAAATAATTACAGTTTTTTTTTGTGAATACTGAGGAGATCTAGCAGGTCGAAAATTCTAAAGCAGATAATATATTAAGAACAAGCAACCAAAAGTTATGCCCCGCCCACCCGCCCTGTCCCAAATCGTGTTAAATCTTTTATTCGTTGTGAAAGAACTGGGCGGAGCTTAATTGCAAAGTCTATATCCCTGTACAAGCAATTACCAAGAGAAACATGTTTGTGGTATTGTTGAAAATGGACTATTTTGCGAAAAAGTAAATAAGTATTCTTATTATTCTCCCAGAAGTAAAATTTGCAATTAAGTTCCGCCCTCTGGTCTCACAACGAATAAAAAATTTATTACAATTGGAATCGGGGCGGGTGGGTGGGGCATATTCTTCGACTTCTGTTTCGAAATATATACAGTTTTCTATTAACAGCACGATACGACAAACATGTTTCACGTAGTAATTTCTCATAGAGAAAGATAAACTTTTCAATTAAGCTCCGCCTCTCGTCTGAAGACGAATAAAAAAATTAATCACAATTGAAATCGGGCGGGTGGGTGGGGCTTATTCTCCATCTCAATTGTGCTTAATTAATATTCGTTGTAAGACGGAGGGCGGAGCTTAATTGAAAAATGTATATTTCTCTACAAGAAATCACCGCATGAAATATGCTTTAAGTATCATGTTGTTGAAAGAAAACTATATATATATTAAGAACAAGCAACCAAAAATTAAGTAGGGTTCAAATCGTATTAAATCTTTTATTCGTTGTGAGACCAGTGGGCGGAGCTTAATTGCAAAGTCTATAGAAACATGTTTGTGGCATTGTTGAAAATGAACTATTTTGCAAAAAAGTAGCAAAAATATTCTTATTCTTTTTTTTTCTAAATATATATAGTTTTCTATTAAATGATAAAGGAGAACAATCGCTCCGTTTAATAAATAAATAAATAAATAAATAAATATAAATATTAACAACACGATACTTAAAACATGTTTCACGTGGTAGTTTCTTACAGAGAAATGTAAACTTTTCAATTAAGCTCCACCTCTCGTCTGGCGACGAATAAAAAAATTAATCACAATTGAGATGAGGGCGGGTGGGTGGGGCTTATTCTTCATCTCAGTTGTGCTTAATATTGTATTCGTTGACAGACGGAGGGCGGAGCTTAATTGAAAAATTTATATTTATCTACAAGAAATATGTTTTAAGTATCATGTTGAAGAACAAGCAACCAAAAATTAAGCCCCACCCACCCGCCCGGACTCAAATCGTATTAAATCTTTTATTCGTTGTGAGACCAGTGGGCGGAGCTTAATTGAAAAGTCTATAGAAACATGTTTGTGGCATTGTTGAAAATGAACTATTTTGCAAAAAAATAGCAAAAAATATTCTTATTCTCTTCTTTTTCTAAATATATATATAGTTTTATATTAAATGATAAAGGAGAACAATCGCTCCGTTTAATAAATAAATAAATAAATAAATAAATAAATAAATATAAATATTAACAACACGATACTTAAAACATGTTTCACGTGGTAATTTCTTACAGAGAAATGTAAACTTTTCAATTAAGCTCCGCCCCTCGTCTGACAACGAATAAAAAAATTAATCACAATTGAGATGAGGGCGGGTGGGTGGGGCTTATTCTTCAACTCAATTGTGCCTAATATTGTATTTGTTGTCAGACGGAGGGCGGAGCTTAATTGAAAAATTTATATTCATCTACAAGAAATATGTTTTCAGTATCATGTTGTTGAAAGACAACTAAATATATTAAGAACAAGCAACCAAAAATTATGCCCCACCCACCCGCCCTCACCCAAATCGTGTTAAATCTTTTATTCGTTGTGAGACCAGTGGGCGGAGCTTAATTGCAAAGTCTACATTGCTGTACAAGTAATTACCAAGAGAAACGTGTTTGTGGTATTGTTGAAAATGGAGTATTTTGCGAAAAAGTGGCGAAAAAATATTATTATTCTTTCAAAAGTACAATTTGCAATTAAGTTCCGCCCCCTGGTCTCAGAACGAATAAAAAATTGATTACAATTGGAAGCGGGCGGGAGGGTGGGGCATATTCTTCGGCTTCTTAAAAGATGTTTCACGCGATAATTTCTTATAGAGAAATATAAACTTTTCAATTAAGCTCCGCCTATCGTCTGACGACGAATAAAAAAATTAATCATAATTGAGATGAGGGTGGGTGGGTGGGGCTTATTCTCCATCTCAGTTGTGCTTAATATTGTAATCTTTATGTATATTATAATAGGGTCAATCCAGGGAGCGTACGTATACTTGTAGTTTATGAATCCGCCTTAATTTTTTACCCCAGACATCCAGGATTTTTTAAATTTCATATTACGCTGTACCAGAACATTCTACACGCTGTACTTCATAAGCAATTAATGTCGTACATAAAGACAGTAATTTATAAACGACGGAGGCCTTTTTTATACAGGCTGTTCCAAAAATGACGTATAAACTCGATGGTACGTTGTCTAGAGAACTGGAAATAATTCGAAAAAATGGTTTTAAAAAATCCCTGTATCAAATTTTTGAAAATATTAAATTTCAAAATTGAAGTATTGACTTAATGTATTGTTTAAATGTAAATTTAGTTGACACTCTAAAATTGCGATTAAAAAAAGTTAAAAATGGCATCTGTCTTTTTTTAGTTCTGCAGAGCCTTCTTGACAATCGAGAGAACGCGTAATTTTTGCATCACCCTGTATATTCTCCTTAATCTCTCCGTAAATTTTATAACGATTGTTTATTTTTGAAATCTCGTTAATGTTGATTTTAAGATGTGTTGCAATATTTTATAGAGTCGAACACATTTTAGTGTGGTATCCATTATCCATTAAAAAAAATAATATACAGAGTGTGTATTTTATTACTGCATCTTACTCAGTATGTCGGCTATAACTGTCAACTTTAAAGATAGAAAATACCTAACGAAAAAGAAAGAGAACAAAAAAAAGTACAAAATGCATTAATAAAATACAGAGTGTTCTATTTGAAAGAACTGAAATATGGATATTTGAAAATTGTAATAAATATTTTTTTTATGAACGTTTAACTATCCACAAAATATTGTCACTGATTTTTAAAATAACCCTATGGCGATGTTTTCTATTGCTAAAAAATTTTAAGAAAATTAGAATAACGTCGCAGTGGAATTTCAAAAATAAATTTTGGTTATAAATCCTTGAAGATGTTCAATCAGAATATGTAAAAACTAGTCAACACTATAAAATGACATTTAAATGTATTGTAGAACATTATTGTTAATTAATATTAATTATTAAAACATGCAGTTCGTCAAAAGAAACTAGAATTACGAAGTTAATTTTCCAAATTTGTTGTTTAATGTTTTCAAGGGGATTTTTTAAAACACTTTTACAAGTTCTTCTGAGCGTTCTTAACAACGTACCATCGAGCTTATCCGTCATTTTTGCAACACCCTGTATATTTTGAAGTCGTAATTTATGAACGATGGACGCCGTACTTTGTAAATTTTGAATTCCGTACTTTATAAATTTTAAACGTCATATTTTATAATAATAAGACGGCTAACGCAGTAATTTTTATTTTTATTATACAAAGTTCGTAAATTCTGAAATTGGCAACTGAATTTTTCATTCTAGTATAAAGTACTTTCATGTGATTTTTAGTACAGTAGAGTGTCTCAAGTTAACGTTGACCTTGGTTGCCTTATCAAGATAGTAATCATACAATCATTGACGTTTCGTGTCATTTTATGATGATGGATAGTGACTATTAATAGATGAGTGGAATTCGGACCGATGTTAACAGATTGGTAATCCTGTATACTAAACAATTTTTGTTTTTTTTTTTTTAGAAAAATTTATTTAAAAAGCCTCAAAACCTTCTCTATAGTGAAATTTGGTAAAAATGGAGAAACGAATTTCAAAGAATTTTTCGAAAAGCTTTATTTTGTTGGAACTGTATGTCTATCGGCGCAGTTCGCCCCCTTGCAGCGTCAGAGCGAGCACAACAACGCAAATTCTGCACCAAAAATACCAATTTGCTCCGATTAATAATAAAAGTTTCGGAACAACAAACCAATATCCTTTAGCCATTAAACAACCATTTATTAATAGTTAAAGGATCTCCAGTTATTTTCGGAATAGTTACTAATAATTTAAATTGCCTGCAAATGACGTTATCGAGCAGACACACAGCGCCTCCGACCACACATGATCCGTCATTGGGGCGAATCACGTGTGGGACGAGGCCTATGTAAAGTTCCCCTGTATATACTTAATTTTAAATTGCGACAAGCAAGGCACTAGTGTAGAGAGATTACTTTACATTTCAGAGAATGTCCGAAGAGATGTACAATGAAATGGTATTGTATTATTAGATTTTTCTAAAGTTGCACACAACATTTTTGTCTTGTTACATGTTCCATGTCATCATGCCCGAAGTGGCAGTCTCGTTTCGAAAAGTCGCCTAACACGTGACTCGGATTGTGGGCGCGGCCTCGACTGACTTAAGTGCATCGCGCGTATAAATAGAATCATCGAACCGAGATTGTCATGCATAAATATAACAGAACCATCGGAGACCGCATAGCACTAATTTCACTAATTACTAAAGAGCATTTTTGATTATCATCCATGTTCATTGTTACCTCTCTCTCTCTTTCTATGTGGCCCTCTTCGACACACCGTTTTCGTTTTTGTTCGTATTTTCGGTTTTGGCTTTTTGTTTGTGTTGCTTTTGTGGTGGCGGTGGTTGAGATTATAGGGAGATTTTGCATGAAGTGTAAGATTAAACAGTTGGCTCTTTAAATAGACGGGATTTTTGGGTCGCTTCAGTGGAAATTCGGGGTTCAGATTGTTCGTGTCTGTATGTTTTGACGTTGTTTTGTTGTTGTTTTCATTCTGGAAAAGTGGAAATCCAGAAAGAGTGGGGAAAACCCGAAAAGTGTGACGTTCTAGAACAACAAAAAGAAGTTCAAAATTAATGAGAGAAATTTAAAATTTAGCATTTTAGCTGAGAGCTTTTTCTAAAGTCGCTTTGAATTTCTTGCGACTCTAAAAATCCTCTAAAAAAAGTGTTTGAAAATTATTTTTTTTTGGAATGTTCGAAACCCTGTTGCTATATAAAACGTTTATTGATTTTATTATTTTATTAAATTTAGTTACCGAAAGTCTTGAAAATACGAAAATTTTTGGGAAAAAAATAAAAGAAAATAACTTTGTTTAGTTCATGTTCATATTCCAAGGAACTTAAAACTACTGAAAACCTAAAAATGGAATGTTATCCAAAAATTTTGAAACAGTCGAGTTTTTGAAATTTTTGAAAATTTTTACGTTTTATCAAAGTTTACAGAATTTTAAATTTCGGAAAAACTGATATTTTTAAAATATACAAATGTTTAAAGGACATACGTGAAATTAGAAAATAGCTTGATTTTGGAAATTCAGACTCTTGATTTTTTTTCTTACGTCAAAAAACATATAAAATTCTAGCAATTTGTAGATAACGAAAATAAAAAAATCAACTTTGTTCAGTTCATATTCACATCCTTAAGAACTTAAATTTTATTGAATAAATAATGGTTTCAATAAGTGAAAAATGTGGATCCAGAAATTTCTAAAATGTCAGTTTTTGAAATTTTTGAAAATTTTTACGTTTTATCAAAGTTTACAGAATTTTAAATTTCGGAAAAACTGATATTTTTAAAATATATAAATGTTTAAAGGACATACGTGAAATTAGAAAATAGCGAGATTTTGGAAATTCAGACTCTTGATTTTTTTTCTTACGTCAAAAAACATATAAAAGTCTAGCAATTTCTAAATAACGAAAATAAAAAAATCAACTCTGTTCAGTTCATATTCACATCCTTAAGAACTTAAATTTTATTGAATAAACAATGGTTTCAATAAGTGAAAAATGTGGCTCCAGAAATTTCTAAAATGTCAGTTTTTGAAATTTTTGAAAATTTTTACGTTTTATCAAAGTTTCCAGAATTTTAAATTTCGGAAAAACTGATATTTTTAAAATATACAAATGTTTAAAGGACATACGTGAAATTAGAAAATAGCGAGATTTTGGAAATTCAGAGACTCTTGATTTTTTTTCTTACGTCAAAAAACATGAAAGTCTAGCAATTTGTAGATAACGAAAATAAAAAAATCAACTTTGTTCAGTTCATATTCACATCCTTAAGAACTTAAATTTTATTGAATAAACAATGATTTCAATAAGTGAAAAATGTGGATCCAGAAATTTCTAAAATGGCAGTTTTTGAAATTTTTGAAAATTTTTACGTTTTATCAAAGTTTACAGAATTTTAAATTTCGGAAAAACTGATATTTTTAAAATATATAAATGTTTAAAGGACATACGTGAAATTAGAAAATAGCGAGATTTTGGAAATTCAGACTCTTGATTTTTTTTCTTACGTCAAAAAACATATAAAAGTCTAGCAATTTCTAAATAACGAAAATAAAAAAATCAACTCTGTTCAGTTCATATTCACATCCTTAAGAACTTAAATTTTATTGAATAAACAATGGTTTCAATAAGTGAAAAATGTGGCTCCAGAAATTTCTAAAATGTCAGTTTTTGAAATTTTTGAAAATTTTTACGTTTTATCAAAGTTTCCAGAATTTTAAATTTCGGAAAAACTGATATTTTTAAAATATACAAATGTTTAAAGGACATACGTGAAATTAGAAAATAGCGAGATTTTGGAAATTCAGAGACTCTTGATTTTTTTTCTTACGTCAAAAAACATGAAAGTCTAGCAATTTGTAGATAACGAAAATAAAAAAATCAACTTTGTTCAGTTCATATTCACATCCTTAAGAACTTAAATTTTATTGAATAAACAATGATTTCAATAAGTGAAAAATGTGGATCCAGAAATTTCTAAAATGGCAGTTTTTGAAATTTTTGAAAATGTTTACGTTTTATCAAAGTTTACAGAATTTTAAATTTCGGAAAAACTGATATTTTTAAAATATACAAATGTTTAAAGGACATACGTGAAATTAGAAAATAGCGAGATTTTGGAAATTCAGAGACTCTTGATTTTTTCTTTTACGTCAAAAAACATATAAAAGTCTAGCAATTTCTAAATAACGAAAATAAAAAAATCAACTCTGTTCAGTTCATATTCACATCCTTAAGAACTTAAATTTTATTGAATAAACAATGGTTTCAATAAGTGAAAAATGTGGATCCAGAAATTTCTAAAATGTCAGTTTTTGCAATTTTTGAAAATTTTTACGTTTTATCAAAGTTTACAGAATTTTAAATTTCGGAAAAACTGATATTTTTAAAATATACAAATGTTTAAAGGACATACGTGAAATTAGAAAATAGCGAGATTTTGGAAATTCAGAGACTCTTGATTTTTTTTCTTACGTCAAAAAACATATAAAAGTCTAGCAATTTCTAAATAACGAAAATAAAAAAATCAACTTTGTTCAGTTCATATTCACATCCTTAAGAACTTAAATTTTATTGAATAAAATAAATGAAAAATGTGGATCCAGAAATTTCTAAAATGTCAGTTTTTGAAATTTTTGAAAGTTTTTACGTTTTATCAAAGTTTACAGAATTTTAAATTTCGGAAAAACTGATAATTTTAAAATATACAAATGTTTAAAGGACATACGTGAAATTAGAAAATAGCGAGATTTTGGAAATTCAGAGACTCTTGATTTTTTTTCTTACGTCAAAAAACATAAAAGTCTAGCAATTTCTAAATAACGAAAATAAAAAAATCAACTTTGTTCAGTTCATATTCACATCCTTAAGAACTTAAATTTTATTGAATAAACAATGGTTTCAATAAGTGAAAAATGTGGATCCAGAAATTTCTAAAATGTCAGTTTTTGAAATTTTTGAAAATTTTTACGTTTTATCAAAGTTTACAGAATTTTAAATTTCGGAAAAACTGATATTTTTAAAATATATAAATGTTCAAAGGACATACGTGAAATTAGAAAATAGCTTGATTTTGGAAATTCAGACTCTTGATTTTTTTTCTTACGTCAAAAAACATATAAAAGTCTAGCAATTTGTAAATAACGAAAATAAAAAAATCAACTTTGTTCTGTTCATATTAACATTCTAAAGAACTTAAATTTTATTGAATAAACAATGGTTTCAATAAGTGAAAAATGTGGCTCCAGAAATTTCTAAAATGTCAGTTTTTGAAATTTTTGAAAATTTTTACGTTTTATCAAAGTTTCCAGAATTTTAAATTTCGGAAAAACTGATATTTTTAAAATATACAAATGTTTAAAGGACATACGTGAAATTAGAAAATAGCGAGATTTTGGAAATTCAGAGACTCTTGATTTTTTTTCTTACGTCAAAAAACATGAAAGTCTAGCAATTTGTAGATAACGAAAATAAAAAAATCAACTTTGTTCAGTTCATATTCACATCCTTAAGAACTTAAATTTTATTGAATAAACAATGATTTCAATAAGTGAAAAATGTGGATCCAGAAATTTCTAAAATGGCAGTTTTTGAAATTTTTGAAAATGTTTACGTTTTATCAAAGTTTACAGAATTTTAAATTTCGGAAAAACTGATCTTTTTAAAATATACAAATGTTTAAAGGACATACGTGAAATTAGAAAATAGCGAGATTTTGGAAATTCAGAGACTCTTGATTTTTTCTTTTACGTCAAAAAACATATAAAAGTCTAGCAATTTCTAAATAACGAAAATAAAAAAATCAACTCTGTTCAGTTCATATTCACATCCTTAAGAACTTAAATTTTATTGAATAAACAATGGTTTCAATAAGTGAAAAATGTGGATCCAGAAATTTCTAAAATGTCAGTTTTTGCAATTTTTGAAAATTTTTACGTTTTATCAAAGTTTACAGAATTTTAAATTTCGGAAAAACTGATATTTTTAAAATATATAAATGTTTAAAGGACATACGTGAAATTAGAAAATAGCGAGATTTTGGAAATTCAGAGACTCTTGATTTTTTTTCTTACGTCAAAAAACATATAAAAGTCTAGCAATTTCTAAATAACGAAAATAAAAAAATTAACTTTGTTCAGTTCATATTCACATCCTTAAGAACTTAAATTTTATTGAATAAAATTAATGAAAAATGTGGATCCAGAAATTTCTAAAATGTCAGTTTTTGAAATTTTTGAAAGTTTTTACGTTTTATCAAAGTTTACAGAATTTTAAATTTCGGAAAAACTGATAATTTTAAAATATACAAATGTTTAAAGGACATACGTGAAATTAGAAAATAGCGAGAGTTTGGAAATTCAGAGACTCTTGATTTTTTTTCTTACGTCAAAAAACATAAAAGTCTAGCAATTTCTAAATAACGAAAATAAAAAAATCAAC